AAAAAAAAAAAAGGATAGGGGGCTGGGAAGGTGGCTCAGTGGTAGAGCACTTTCTTTGCATGCCTGAAGCCCTGGGTTCGATTCTTCAGCACCACATAAGCAAAAAGAAAAAAAAAAGCCGGAAGTGGTGCTGTGGCTCAAATGGTAGAGCACTAGTCTTGAACTGAAGAGCTGAGGGACAGCGCCCAGGCCCAAATTTCAGGCCCCACAACTGGACCCCCCCCCCAAAAAAAAAAAAAAAGGATAGTATGCACTGATCATATAAAATAATATTTATCGAATTGAACTCCAAGAAATGGAAATGAGTTTTTTTTCTTTGTTGTTTTTATTTATTTTCCCTTTTTATCTTGTTTGCTTGTTTAAAGGGGAGCATAGGAGTGGAGGTACAGAGGGTGAACAAATGTAGTAGACATAAAAGACAGATAGGAATGTCTGTGAGACTCTAATCTACAATAAACTACCAGAAAACTGGAAGTGGTGCTGTGGCTCAAATGGTAAAGTACTAGCCTTGAGCTGAATTGCTGAGGGACAGTGCCCAGGCCCAGAGTTCAAGCCCCATAACTGGAAAAAAAAGAAAAAGAAAAAAAATCTCACAGACTTTCCTGCCTGGGCTGGCTTTGAATTGTAATCCTCAGATCTCAACCTCCTGAGTAACTAGAATTACAGATGCTACCAGCACTGAGCAGAAAATATTTTTTATTGCCATTTATTTTTACCAGTTGAGATTAAGCCCAGGTGCACATGATGAAAAAAGCGCTCTACTACTGAGCTATATTTCCAGCCCGTAGGTTTTTGGGACAAGGTCTTACTGGGTTATACAAGACTGCTGCTGGCCTTGAACTCAATGTGTAGAATAAAAATTCAAAAATTACCAAAGGTAATAGGATGAGAAGTAAGCCATCTCCTATTCCTAATTCCTGGCTAACCAGTGTCCCCCTATGAGACAGCCACTGTTGTGAGTATCTCATTCCAGGGAGCTCTGTGTAAGTAGGCATTTGCATATTATAATAAAGAATTTGGCTGGGCGCTGGTGGCTCACGCCCGTAATCCTAGCTACTCAGCAGGCTGAGATCTGAGGATCAAGGTTCAAAGCCAGCCCTGGCAGGAAATACCATGAGACTCCTATCTCCAATAAACCACCAGAAAACCGGAAGTGGTGCTGTAGCTCAAGTGGTAGAGCGCTAGCCTTGAGCTGAAGAGCTGAGGGACAACGCCCAGGCCCAGAGTTCAAGTCCCACGACCGACAAAAAAAAAAGAAAAAAAAGGAATTTGTAGTATAAGGAATAATAAATACTAGTAAATAAAAATCAGCTGGCCAATGAAGTGATACATCTTGTGTGTGTGTGTGTATGTGTATAAGTGATACATATCTTTAATCCCAGCTAGTTGGACCGCAAACGTAGGAAAATCTAGAATTTGAGGCCAGTCTAGGCAAAAAGGTAATGAGATCTTGTCTCAAAGAAAAAAACAAAACAAAATGAAAATAATAAGGGATAAATGCATAGTTCAAGTGGTGGAACACTTGCACAATATAGGTGAGGCTCAGTATAACTAAAATTAAAAAAAATAAAATGGCGAAGAATGGTAGCACAGATCTTTTAATCTCAGTACTCTGGAGGATGAGACATGAGGGTGGTGAGGTTTTTTTTTTTTTTTTTTGTCGGTCGTGGGGCTTGAACTCTGGGCCTGGGTGCTGTCCCTCAGCTCTTCAGCTCAAGGCTAGTGCTCTACCACTTGAGCTACAGCGCCACTTCCGGTTTTCTGGTGGTTTATTGGAGATAGGAGTCTCACGTCCTTTCCTGCCCAGGCTGGCTTTGAACCGCGATCCTCAGATCTCAGCCTCCAGAGTAGCTAGGATTACAGCGCCCAGCGGTGGTGAGTTTTGAAGCAAGCCTGTACCAGAAAAAAAAATTTTTCTGTACCAGAAAAAAAATACCTAATCATTAATAAGCCCATTGCTAGGCATAACCACTGAAAATAGTTTAACATTACAGTATGTATCCTTTTGAGATTTGAAAAAATGCATACATGTTTATAGATGTGTACTTTTGTACTTTTTCTGGCTTTGTTTTGTTTTGCTGGTACTGGGGCTTGAACTCAAAACCTTACACACTCTTTCTCACAGCTCCTTCTGTACCCACTTGAACCACACTTGCAGTTCCTCTTTGTACTTAATTTTTTTTTTTTTTTTGGTGCTGGGTAGCAAATCTAGGATTTATACTAGGCAAATGCAGTATCCTTCAACTATGTCCCCAGCGTTGGGCACAGTTGTTTTACTAAAAACAGATTCAGATGTTTCCTTTTAAGTCAAAGTCTTCACTATTGTTCCCAGTTATATTCTCCCACTAGTAATAACCATGGTTATTTTACGTATTCTCTGAGATTCTTTGTATTTATCCATAGAGGTATACTGCAGTGTTTTTCAGTTTTCATAATGAAAAACATGGTCATCCTGCCCGTATGACAGATGAAAAAACAACATCTTGCTATTTAAATGTAGTCTAACAATACTTCTTGGTTTGAACAACTTTTTTTTTGGCCTTGGCACTGTCCCTCAGCTCTTCAGCTCAAGGCTAGCGCGTTACCACTAGAGCCACAGCTCCACTTCCAGCTTTTTCTGCTTATGTGGTACTGAGGAATTGAACTCAGGGCCTCATGCATGTGAGGCAAGCACTCTACCACTGAGCCACCTTCCGAGCCCACAACTTTTTTTTTTTTTTTTTGGGTCCAGTTGTAGGGTCTGAACTCTGGGCCTGGGTGCTGTCCTTCAGCTCTTCAGCTCAAGGCTAGAGCTCTACCAACTTGAGCCACAGTGCCACTTCCGGCTTTTTTTCTTTTTTTGCTTATGTGGTGCTGAGGAATTGAACCCAGGGCCTCATGCATGCAAGGCAAGTGCTCTACCACTGAGCCACCTTCCCAGCCCCAGCCCACAACTTTTAAATGCTTTTTAAATACCAGTATTCTTCTGAGAATCAGCAAAATTCTAACTGACAATTGATAAACTAGTTTTCTTACTCCTTACATTTATAAATATTATTTCACCACATTTTAATATGGGTATTAACATTGAACAGATACAGCTAGGTGCCAGTGGTTCATGCCTTTAATCCTAGCTACTCAGAAGTCTGAAACCTGAAGATCATGATTCAAAGCCAGCTTTGGTAGGACAGTCTGTGAGACTGATCTCTAGCTGCCTCCAAAAGGCTGGAAGGGGAGCTGTGGCTTAAGTGATAGGGTGGTAACCTTGAGTACAAAAGCTCAAGTATGGTAGCCAGGCTCTGGAGTTCAACCCTAGGGACTGGTACAAAAAAAAGAGAGAGAGAGAGAAAGAGAACTATAGACTTAGAAGAAGTTGTAAAATAGTAGAGAAGACCCTTCTGTTTATCCCCCAACTTCTCCCAGTTTTTTGTCTTACATAAATGTACCTTTCTAAACCTGGGAGTGCTCAACTGATGAGGAAGCAGACTTCACTCTGATTTCAGTGGTTTTTTGTTTGGTTTGTTTTTTGCCAGTCCTGGGGCTTGAATTCAAGGCCTGGGCACTGTCCCTGAGCTTTTGCTCAAGGCTAGAACTCCAGCACTTGAGCCACAGCCCCACTTCTGGCATTTTCTGTTTATGTGGTACTAAGGAATTGAACCCAGGGCTTCATGCATGCTCGACAAGCATTCTACCTCTGAGCCACATTCCCAGTCCTGAGCAGTTTTTATGCATTATTTTTCATTTTCTACCTCTATAATTATACAATGTTCAAAAAATATTTTTTTTCTTTTTGCTTATATGGTGCTGAGGAATCGAACCCAGGGCCTCAGGCATGCAGGGCAAGCGCTCTACCACTGAGCCACCTTCCCAGCCTTCAAAAAATAATTTTAAGTTGGTCTTTAGTGATTCATACCTGTAATTCTAGGTACTTGGGAGGGGGATATTGTAAGGATTCCCATGTGAGGCTTGCCCTGACAAAAAGTTGATGAGACCCTGTCTCAACCAACAGCTAGATAGCTACTGTGGGAAGCATAAATAGGAGGATCAAGGCCCAGGCTGGCCCAAGCTGGCCCAGGCCAAAAAAAAGAGAAAGAAGAGAGATCCTTTCTCAAAAGAAACAAGGGCTGGAGCAAGAGCAAAGCCCTAAATTCAAAGCATTCTACCATAAAAGAAAAGAAAAAATTTAGGGCTGGGAAGGTGGCTCAGTGGTAGAGTGCTTGCCTTGCATGCATGAGGCCCTGGGTTCGATTCCCCAGCAACACATAAGCAAAAAGAAAAAAGCCGGAAGTGGCACTGTGGCTCAAGTGGTAGAGCGCTAGCCTTGAGCTGAAGAGCTGAGGGACAGCGCCCAGGCCCAGAGTTCAGGCCCCAACACCGGACCCAAAAAAAAAAAAAAGAAAAAATTTAGATTTACATAAAAGTTGCAATGAAAACACAGAAATCCTTATACAGCCCTTACCCCTCCCAGTTGTTAGAATGGCACATTCATAAAGTGCATTTGTTACAACTGGGGGACCACCATTGCTATATTACTATTAACTAAACTCCATGTTTCACTGGATATGGTTGTTTCCTCTTATGTTCTTTTTTAATTCTTAGGTTTTTCAGTTTTGTTTTTTTCTTTCTCAGTTGTAGGGCTTGAACTCAGGGCTTGATTCAAGGCTGCCGCTCTACTATTTTGAGTTTTCTCCATTTCCACTTTTCTGTTGTTTAGTTGGAGATAAGAGTTTCACAGACTTTGGCCTGGTTTTGAACTGTGATCCTCAGTTCTCAGCCTCCTGAGTAGCTAGGCTAATAGGCATGAGCTATCAGGGCCCAGCTCTCCTGGTTTTTGATAATCATGACTATTTGAAGAACACTGGTCACATATTTTGTAGATAGTCCCGTAATGTGGACTGGGCTAGGGTTTTCCCATGTAAAATTGCTTTGTCCCCTTTGTGAAAAAGTCATTTGAATTCCTCTAATAGGTTTTATAAAATACCATGCTCACTCCATCAATCTAATATGTCTGTTCTTTGCAGGGTGGAAAACCCCGTAAACACCGGAAGGATCGGCTACAAGATTTAATTGATATAGGCTTTGGCTATGATGAGACAGATCCATTTATTGATAACTCAGAAGCTGTGAGTAATGTCTTTAATATGGCAGCAAATTATTTTGGCTAGTAGAAGCAAAGGCAAAGTAACTTAAGTAGTTCAATGAATTTTTTTTTTTTTTTGGTCGGTCCTGGGGCTTGAACTCTGGGCCTGGGCGCTGTCCCTCAGCTCTTCAGCTCAAGGCGAGCACTCTACCACTTGAGCCACAGCACCACTTCCAGTTTTCTAGTGGTTTATTGGAGATAGGAGTGCCATGGTCTTTCTTGCCCAGGCTGGCTTTGAACCTCTGTCCTCAGATCTCAAGCCTCCCAAGTAGCTAGGATTACAGGCATGAGCCACCGGCGCCTGACAGTCAATGAATGTTTTTATGAGTGCCATTTTTTTTTTTTTTTGCCAGTCCTGGGGCTTTGATCTTGGCCCTGGGCACTGTCCCTGAGCTGCTTTTGCTCAAGGCTTACATTCTAACACTTAAGTCACAGCGCCACTTCTTGCTTTTTCCTATGTATGTGATACTAAGGAATGGAACCCAGAGATTTGTGCATGCAAGGCAAACACTCTACCACTAAGTCACATTCCCAGCCCTAAAGTTTGTTTTTAATTAGAGAATACTGCATGTAGATTTAAAATTTTGTGATGTTGGATTGGTTTATGATGGGTTGAAGTAAACTAGATCAGGTTTTGGCAGGGCTACCCAGTAAATATTTGAGACTGAAAGCCATGTGATGTCTTACAGTTAGTTACTGTCATCGTAACTGGAGAGCAGTCACAGACAATGCATGTGAATCAGTTAGAGTGAAACCTCATTTATGGGCCCTGACATTTAAATTTATGTTGTTTACATGTGCCACAGTATACTTACCATCTTCTAGTACTTTCCTAACAATTTAAATCATGTACAGTCTATTCCTTCCAGGCTGGATAAAATAAGTTGGTAGGCTGCATTCACCCTGTAGGTTGTGGTGTGCTAACACTATACTAGATCATGATTTATGATAGGCTGTGCTCCTTTTCACAGCCTATAAAAATCTCTTGAGATTCTTTAGTAATTGTTCATTTTCAGATATATGTAGTTAACCTGAATTTCATTACCACTCCTACTTCAAATGAAAATAAAAACCTTTTAAAAGAGAAAGGTTCTAGCCAAATGCCAAATAACAGCTTATTAAATTAATGTTTCTTAATGCCTTGGAGGTAGAGATCTTCCTTTACCAAAAAGCTTGTCACTCAGCAGATATGGGCAGAAAATGCTCAATAGAGAAGTCCTAGATTAGAGTCCCACATTGGCTTTTAATTTATGAAGTGATCAGAAATGAATCTTTTTTTTTTTTTTGGGTCCGGTCATGGGGCCTGAACTCTGGGCCTGGGCACTGTTCCTCAGCTCTTCAGCTCAAGGCGAGTGCTCTACCACATGAGCCACAGCACCACTTCTGGCCTTTTTTTTCTTCTGCTTATGTGGTGCTGAGGAATCGAACCCAGGGCTTCATGTATGCAAGGCAAGCGCTCTACCACTGAGCCACCTTCCCAGCCCCAGAAATGAATCTTTTAAAGTCACCTTGTTTTAAGGTGTAAATATAAACATGTTGAGAAATATACACAAGTATAAAGTAATACTATGTGTAGATTTAAAAAAATTTGTATGTATGTGTGTATGTTTGCGTATTTGTGCCAAGCACGCCTCCACTTCCAGCGTTTTGGTGGTTAATTGGAGATAAGAGTGTCATGGATTTTCCTGCCTGGGCTTGGCTTTGAACTGCATTCCTCAGAGCTCAGCTTCCTGAGTAGTTAGGATTATAGGCATGAACCACTGGTGCCTGTCTTATGAGTTCAGTTTTTTAAGATTTCACACACAGGTGAAAATCATGGTATTTGTCTTTGCTTGTGTGGTTTCTTCTATTTAGTAAGTTACAGCTGTATACATATTATTGTAAGTGATAGTTTTATAAGGCCAAATAGTATTCCGTTGAATAGATACATCACATTTATAAAAATTGATTGGTGTTCTGATGTACATTTAAGTTGTTTTCAATATGTTGCCTATTTTGACTAGTGCTTCTCTTTGGTGTGTACTGAGGAGTAGGATTTGTTGTCTGATTTGTAGCTTTGTGGTTTATATTCAATGTTTCTATGATGAGTGAACTTCTCTGACATATTTATAGAATTATAGACGTAGAATGTATCTGACTCTTCTTTTAAATCTAGTATGATGAATTAGTTCCTGCTTCTCTAACAACAAAATATGGAGGCTTTTATATCAATACTGGCACTCTGCAGTTTCGCCAAGCTTCAGATACTGAAGAAGAAGATACTACAGACAACCAAAAGCACAAGCCACCCAAGGTGAGTTTATTCAACATTATAGTAATAAGGATAACAGTGAATTAGTAGGTTGTACTTTTTGTTGTTTTGTTGGGTTTTTGCAGTGTTTGGGATGGAGTCCTGGACCTCATGCATGGTAGCAAGAGCTCTACCATTACTACTACCTCCACCCCAGCATGTACTTTTTGAATGTCATTTGTGCCATACCTGTGAATGAAAGGAAGAGTAAAACACTAACCTTAGTTAATGAATCTTAATTTTATGCTTAAATTAAACATGTAGACATGGAAAAATTACTGTTTATATCATACTTAAAATATATTTTCTTTTGGGGCTAGGAATGTGGCTTAGTGGTAGAGTGCTGGCCTAGCATGCATGAAGCCTTGGGTTTGATGCCTTAGTACCACATAAACAGAAAAAGCCAGAAGTGGCTCTGTGGCTCAAGTGGTAGAGCACTAGCTTTGAGCCAGAGAAACTCAGGGAAAGTGCCCAGGCCCTGAGTTCAAGCCCCAGGACTGGCCAAAAAAGAAAAAAAAAAAGAAAAATATATTTTCTTTTATTATTTTTCTCTACAGATAAGGTTTGATAATTTATTATTTCTTGGATATGTTTAAGTTTCTAGATAAGTAAGATGGTGTAATATATGTATTGAAAATTGTTCTCTGCTACCCCTCAAAAAAAGAATTGTCCCTGGCTTTTAGAAAAAACAAACAAAAAAAGATTTGGTATGAAGATGAGTTTTAATACTAAATACCTTTTGTGCTATTTAATCTGGAACATAATTTTTAGAATTAATACACTGCTTGGGGGAAATTAATGGTGTCTGTATTTTCTGACATGAGATCCAAAGACTTAATTGTACCAGAATTACCACAGTCCTTGTTAAATGTGCAAATTCTAATTTCTGTAAATAGTTAACCAGTTGAGTAGTAACCAGTTAATTTGTCTGTATATCTCATTTTTATTTTTCTATGAATGCTGTTGATCATATTGTTGTAAGAGTTCTCAGTACTTGTTTTGATTCACAGAACAGGCCTGCCACATTTGTGAATCATTTATGTTTGTTTTGTTTTTGATCTGCTTTGTTTTGATTTAAGTTGCCCAATCAGTCAGAAAAGAACCCAGAGAACTGAATCAAAACCATAAGGTGAGAGTGCTCCTGGCCCCTGAGCACCTGCACCTTTCTCAAGTGTCTCCTGGACATTTAGACTTGAAAAAAAAAAATCACTTCTCTGGATTTCAGCTTGCTAGTGTTAAAGAGAAAAGCATTGGTACTGAGATGAAATATGTATTCTTTTATCAATATTCAGGTTCCCAAAATAAAAGAGGATGATATTGAGACAAAGAAGCGGAAGCGGAAAGAGGAAGGAGAAAAGGAGAAGAAGCCAAGGAAAAAAGTACCCAAACAAATGGGGTATGTTAACCTAATATGGGCACTCGGGTCACATTATGACTATTTCCCCTTGTAGAAATGTAATTTATCATTAATTAATTTAGCTTGGCTGGGTCTAATTTATTTATTTATTTATTTTTGTTTGTTTTGTTTTTGGGTCCGGTCGTGGGGCCTGAACTCTGGGCCTGGGCACTGTCCCTCAGCTTTTCAGCTCAAGGCTAGTGCTCTACCACTTGAGCCACAGCACCACTTCCGGCTTTTTTCTTTTTTGTTTATGTGGTGCTGAGGAATCGAACCCAGGGCCTTAGGCATGCAAGGCAAGCACTCTACCACTGAGCCAACTTCCCAGCCCCCTTGGCTGGGTCTAATTTAATATACTGACTAGTATAAATAATCTTTTAACTTATATTTTAGCGATAAGTTGCTATTTATTAATAAGCAGAAGGCTTTGTCATTTTGGATACTGCAATATTTTTAGATTCAATTTACAGATTAGTTCATTAAAATTTTTGCTCATTATAATTTTTCCAACAAGAACCATTTGAAACCGGGCACTGGTGGCTCATGTCTGTAGTCGTAGCTACTCAGGAGCCTGAGATCTGAGGAAGTTGAAAGCCAGCCTGGGCAGGAAAGTCCATGAGACTCTTATCTCCAGTAAACTACTCAAAAAAAGCTGGAGTGGCACTGTAGCTCAAGTGGTAGAGCACTATCCTGGAGCAAAAATAAGTTCAGGGACAGCACCTAGGCCCAGAGTTCAAGCCCTAGGACTGGCAAAAAATAAAAATTTAAAAAAAGGGGCTGGGAAGGTGGCTCAGTGGTAGAGCGCTTGCCTTGCATGCATGAGGCCCTGGGATCGATTCCTCAGCAGCACATAAGCAAAAAGAAAAAAAAAGCCGGAAGTGGCGCTGTGACTCAAGTGGTAGAGCGCTAGCCTCCAGCTGAAGAGCTGAGGGACAGTGCCCAGGCCCAGAGTTCAGGCCCCACGACCGGACCCAAAAACAAACAAACAAACAAAAAACCATTTGAAAAAGATGGTATAAACATCCAACAAAGAATTTAATCTTCTAGCCCTAAAAATAATTTTAGATGCTCAGATTGAGAATTAGCAGTAGTGTTTGTGAAAAACATTTGTGGTTGCTTTAATATAATAAATATCCTTGGCTGGGGGTGTGCTTAGTGAAAGAACACTGCTTAGCATGTGAGTCCCGAGAGTTATTTTTGATGTTTGTGACTTAGGAAGCATAGTGATGCTAAAAATCAAATCAAAATTGTCAAAAGCCTTGAGTCAAAAGAATAAGATATTTGTAAGATGCTGTGGGGAATTGCTACTTGCCTCTACTTTGCCTTTTTCATAGAACCAATGGAAAAACTCTTCGGAGAGGCTAGCTTTCCTTCCCTCCTTAACCAGGAAGTACCCAAAAGGTTGATTTAGATAGAATATTTCCCTTCCTAAACATGGGATTATACTTGTAATTATGACCAGAAGTCAGTAAGAAATTCTTGAGAAAGCCAGGAATGATGGCACATACCTGTAATCCTAGCACATTCAGCATTAAAAATTTCCCAGGTGCACTGTTTTAAGTTTAGAATATATAACAATACTCAAATATGAGCTGTGTTCAAGGTAATAATCCTGTAGGCTCTGTAGTATATGTAGAAACATTTAAGCTACAATACTTAGAGTTGAGAATGATAGTAAATGGAGAACTTTCCCCCTAGTTTAGATGGAGAGAAGGTTATTGAGAATAACAGCTTTTCTGAATGATGTTCAGATAGATGGTAGTATCAATTAGAGTAGCAGCATCTAGGAGATGATAACATAAAGCTGTAAAAGACATGGTCACAAATTGGGACATTGGATTTAGTATTTCTTCAGTGTTCTGTAGCTTAAGCCACTTGTGCACCCAGTTTGAAGGTGGACAATAGTAAATGTCTGGTTGTAAGTAACTCTTATTTTCAACAAGAAATACATTCCTTTACTGGTGAATTATTTTTTCATATTTCTTTTTTTGGTGGTAATGGGTTTAAACTCAAAACCTTGTGTGCTGGGCAGGCAATAAAATAAAGGCAATAAAATAAAGATTACTGCTGGGCTAGGAAATAAGGACATTTTTTTTTTTTTTTTTTTTGGGGTCCGGTCGTGGGGCCTGAAATCTGGGCCTGGGCACTGTCCCTCAGCTCTTCCGGCCTTTTTCTTTTTGCTTATGTGGTGCTGAGGAATCGAACCCAGGGCCTCAGGCATGCAAGACAAGAGCCACCTTCCCAGCTCCGAAATATGGACATTCTACAATTAGTGTATTAAACTTTTAATGCATTTTAGTAAATAAGCAACATTCAGTTTTATTTCTTCCCATTGGCTTTATTCCTTTCTTTTTCTTCACTGTGATAGCCATTTATGTATCTGCTTTAATAGATGACAATCCAAGTGATGATAAACACACACACACACACACACACACACACAGACACACACACACACACACACACACATACACACACACACACACACACACACACACACACACACACACACAGAGTACAACTTAATAAATTTAGAAGAAAATTGCTCTATCACTTTTCAAATGTCTATGTTAGTTCCATATCTACTTTCTTCCATGGAGCTTTGACTTTTAGTCTCACATAGCCTAACTGATAACTTTTTTTCTTTACAGAGTTGTGGCTCTAAATTCACACAAGGCTGAAAAAAAGAAGAAACGTTATAAAGATTCACTTTCTTTAGCTGCCATGATACGAAAATTTCAAAAAGAGAAGGATGAATTAAAGGAGTCTAATCCAAAAGTCCCAGTGACCTTATCAACCTCCTCTCTGACCAAGTCCCCGTGTGCTGCCACAGCATTGGGAAATGATGTCCCGGACTTAAATCTGAGCAGCACTGATCCAGACCTCCCCATTTTTGTTAGCACAAATGAACATGAACTGTTTCAGGAAGCCGAAAATGCCCTAGAGATACTAGATGACTTCGACTTTGACAGATTCCTGGATGCTGCTTCTGATGAGAGTCCTCTCTCTGAGTCGGGGGGAGAAAATGGAACCACCATCCAGCCAACCTTTGCCTCTCAGGTTATGCCTAAGGTGATACCTACACTCCCAGAGGGTCTGCCTGTACTTCTTGAAAAACGCATTGAGGACCTCCGTGTAGTAAGTGTAATGAATGACTCTTTTAGTTTTTATTTGCTGCATAAATGTACTAATGCTTCATTTTTTTAAATGATGAAATGACCCATAATTGCCGTATCCTTTATTTTCCATATTCTCTTTCAAACAGTGTCTATATACATAGACCTTTTGCTTACATTGAAATAATAATTACAGCATATATGTAATTTTTTTGTTTTTTTTTTTCATTGTTGGTAATGAAATATGTATTAGGGAAATGCTCTACTAGCAAAGCTGAATCCTAACCCTCTATAGATTCTTTTATTATTTCAGTTTACTTATAATTTTTTTTGTATGTTTTATACAATTTTCATTAGCTACATAGTCATATAAAGAAAACAGCGAGCCAGGCGCTGGTGGCTCACACTTGTAATCCTAGCTACTCAGGAGGCTGAGATCTGAGAATCGCAGTTCAAAGCCAGCCTGGGCAGGAAAGTCCATGAAACTCTTAGCTCCAATAAACAGCCAGAACACCAGAAGTGGTGCTGTGGCTCAAGTGGTAGAGCACTACCCTTGAGCTGAAGAGCTGAGGGACAGCGCTCAGGCCCAGAATTCAAGCCCCATGACCGACGAAAAAGAAAAGAAAACAGCATTGAAAGAAGCAAGTTAGGAACACTGAAAAGGTACCTGAGCGCATTCCTAACTTTGGTGATATCTAGTTAATTAGCTTTTTAATCTATTATTTTTTCAGTGATACTGATGATTAAGCCAGGGTCTGATGAGTGCTAGTTAGCAGTCTACTACACAATTATATACCCAGCCCTTAGTCATATCATAATCTATTTTTCCAACAGCTGTAGTAGATGTGAATTATAGTCTTACTAGGACAAATGTAGGAGCTGAGCCTATCAAGTATCACAATAGATTCCTCTCCAGGTCAATTTGGATTAATAATATTCCTTTAACTAGTTGTAAGTCTAGTTAATATCTTATATCCTTTTTGGTGATATTTTGTTTTAAGATGTGCTAGTTCTAGCTTAAAATGCTTTTTGAGTACTTGAACATGTTTATCTGAACCCATGCCATATTTCAGGTGTTTTGGAATATTTTTCCTCTTGATACATAAGTAATACAAGCTGGGTGTGATGGTATGTACCTATAATCCCAGCACTCAGCAGGTTGAGGCCAAAGAGGGGATTGAGGCTAGCTTGGGCTATAGCAAGATCCTCTCTCCAAAACAAAACAATAAAAACAATACAGAATATTCATACTTAGGGAAAGACTTGTTGTTATCTGACATTCTTGTTCCTTATGAGAGGTACTTACTATCATACTGCTATTTTTCATATTGCTTTTTTTTTTTTTTTTTGGTTGGTCACAAGGCTTGAACTCGGGGCCTGAGTACTGTCCCTGAGCTTCTTTTGCACAAGGCTAGCACTCTACCACTTTGAGCCACATTGCCACTTCCTGTTTTCTGGTGGTTAATTGGAGATAAGAATCTCACAGACTTTCCTGGCTTTGAACTGTAATCATCAGATCTCTCAGCCTCCTGAGTAGTTAGTTAGGAGCTTAGGTGTGACCCATCATTGCTATTTTTCTATGAATTTACAAATATTACTAAAAATGATTGTTGTATAAGGCTACAATGTATGAGTTGTAATGTATGTGGTTGTAATACATGACTATAGTATATTTTGCCTTTTTCTCCTAGAATTTTTGCTATTTAAATTGCTAGAATTTTGCTATTTAAATAATCTGTTGCATTTATTTAACTCTTTAAAAAAACTATTCTCTTTAGGTAATTGTATAGAGAAGATGCCATATAACAAAGCAGTTTATCGCCCCTTTCAACATTCTCACCCCAACTTTGACCCACCCTTTATTTTTCTTAATTTTGAGGTATATACAATGAATTCTTTTTTGGGGGGGGGAGGGGGTACAGTCGTGGGGCCTGAACTCTGGGCCTGGGCGCTGTCCCTCAGCTCTTCAGCTCAAGGCTAGCGCTCTACCACTTGAGCCACAGCACCACTTCCGGCTTTTTCCTTTTTGCTTATGTGGTGCTGAGGAATTGAACCCAGGGCCTCATGCATGCAAGGCAAGCGCTCTACCACTGAGCCACCTTCCCAGCCCCTACAATGAATTCTTGACTACATTGTTCCCTCTTTTCCCCCTTCATTCCTCTACCCTCTTCCCTTAGCCCTGCCCCCTATCCCCTTTTCACGTATTTCTGGTGTTGATTTTTTTTTTTTGTCGGTCGTGTGGCTTGAACTCTGGGCCTAGGCGCTGTTCTTCAGCTCTTCAGCTCAAGGCGAGCACTCTACCACTTGAGCTACAGCGCCACTTCCGGTTTTCTGGTGGTTTATTGGAGATAAGAGTCTCACGGTCTCTCCTGCCCAGGCTGGCTTTGAACCGCGATCCTCAGATCTCAGCCTCCTGAGTAGCTAGGATTACAGGCGTGAGCCACCAGCGCCCGGCTTCTGGTGTTGATTTTGTTGGGCTTTGATCTATTCTTTTAGTCTGAAAGATTATACTGTTTGAGCTCTCAATAGTGTCTGTTATACTTCAGTTAATTCATTTGTAACCACCTGCATATAGCCCAACAAGTTTAGTTACAGACATTGGTACTTTTTTTTTTGTCGGTCATGGGGCTTGAACTCTGGGCCTGGGTGCTGTCCCTCAGCTCTTCAGCTCAAGGTAAGCACTCTACCACTTGAGCCACAGCACCACTTCCAGTTTTCTGGTGGTTTATTGGAGATAAGAGTCTCATGAACTTTCCTGCTTGGGATGTCTTTGAACCATGATCCTCAGATCTCAGCCTCCTGCGTAGCTAGGATTATAGGCTTGAGCCACAGGCACATATTGTATTTTTTCAGAGTTAGAAATCATTTTTAATTCCAGTCTTGTTCTCTTACTTGTTTGTACATTCTGTCTACCACAAATGAAGAAAACCATGCAAACTATTTTTCTGGGTCTGACTTTCATTTAATTTTTTTCCAAGTTTTTGCTTTTTCTTATGAATGGTCCTAATTAATGAGTAGAATGCTCTTGTGTATAGATACCACATTTTCTTGACCTATTCACCCATTGAGGGGCATCTGAGCTAATTCCATTATATTAGTTATGGTGAATAGTGCTGCAGTGAACATGGTTGTGCTGATGGTCTTTTAACTCTCTAAATTTTAAATATCTTGAGTAGGGAACAAGAGATTTATATAATTTTTCCAACTACTGGCTCTTAGAGTTTATCAATTTTTCTGTTGTTTTTTAGCATTTATTTTAACGTTATGACTTAAAAATTATTCTGTATTTATAATTACTTTAACCTACTTCATCAGTTTAGGACTTAAAACAAACTTTTTTTTTGTTTTGGTCCGGTAGTGGGGCTTGAACTCTGGGCCTGGTCACTGTCCCTCAGCTCTTCAGCTCAAGGCTAGCACTCTACCCCTGAGCCACAGCACCACTTCTGGCTTTTTTCTTTTTGCTTATGTGGTGCTGAGGAATCGAACCCAGGGCCTCATGCATGCAAGGCAAGTGCTCTACCACTGAGCCACTTTCCCAGCCCAATTTTTTTTTTTTAGTAAGTTTTTTATTGTGAGACTACTGTACAGAGGGGTTACAGTTACATGAGCAAGGTAACAAGTACATTTCTTATCAAGCATTGTTGCCTCCTCCTTTGTTTTTCCCCTACCATCCCTTCCCTCCTACTTCCCACCCCCCTACCTCCGCCTAAATTGTAAAGTTCATTTTTCAACATAGTGTCTTGTTACAAGTGACCCATTGTTACAATGGGTCAACTTGTAGCAATTTTTTTTTTTAATTTGACAGTTCTAGGCCTTGAACCCAGGGCCTTGCATTTGCTTGTCTTGCTTGCTAGTTTAGTGCTCTACCAACTTAAGTCATGCGTCCAGCTGATTCATAACATCGTTGATCACTATCTTCATTGTGATGATTCTCAGTTAAGAATCACCCTCTTGCAGGGCTGGGAAGTTGGCTCAGTGGTAGAGCGCTTGCCTTGCATGCCTGAGGCCCTGGGTTCGATTCCTCAGCACCACATAAGCAAAAAGAAAAAAGCCGGAAGTGGCGCTGTGGCTCAAGTGGTAGAGCGCTAGCCTTGAGCTGAAGAGCTGAGGAACAGCGCCCAGGCCCAGAGTTCAGGCCCCATGACCGGACCCCTTCCCCTCCCCCCCAAAAAAAAATCACCTTCTTTTGTCCTATTAATGCTTTTCACTTTGAGCTTCTTTTTTTTTTTTTTTCTTTAAGCTACTTTAGCAGTTCAAGATTTAGAAGAAGTATGTTAAGTCATTGTAAGCTGGGAATGTGGCTTAGTGGTAGAGTGCTTGCCTAGCATACATGAAGCTCTGCGTTTGATTCCTCAGTACCACATACACAGAAAAAAACAGAAGTGACACTTTTGCTCGCAAAAAGAAGCTCTGGGACCGTGCCCACACCTGAGTTCAAGCCTCAGGACTGGAGGGAAAAATGTCTCATTGCCATTTCTTTCATTGTAATGAGTTTACCTTAATTTTTGCTGTTTTTGTTTGTTTATTTGTTTGGTTTTGGTCTGGTCGTGGAATCTGAACTCTGGGCCTGGGCGCTGTCCCTCAGCTCTTCAGCTCAAGGCTAGCGCTCTACCACTTGAGCCACAGCGCCACTTCTGGCTTTTTTTCTTTTTGCTTTATGTGGTGCTGAGGAATCGAACCCAGTGCCTCAGGCATGCAAGGCAAGTGCTCTACCACTGAGCCACCTTCCCAACCCCTGCTGTTTTTGTTTGTATGCTTTTAGATTCATGTAAAATTTTTTTATGCCAGTACTGGGATTTGACCTCAGGGTCTGGACCCTAATTCTGGGCTTTTGTGTTCAAAGCTAGCACTCTGCCATTTCACTTAAGCCACAGCTCTAATTCCAGCTCTTTGTTAGTTAAATGGAGATAAGATTCTTCAGGGCTTTCTTGCCAGACTGACTTCCAACTATAATCCTCATATATCAGCTTCCTGAGTGGATAGGATTACAGGCCAGCTACCTGTGCCCACATTCACATAAAT